CATTTAACATGAACACGCAACAGTGGACAATTCGCATGAACAGTGATAGGTAGACGAAAACAATTGCACCGATTTTGGGTACGTATAATATTACGTTAAATTGCATAAAAAATATTTTTTATTTTTATAGGAAACGATGAGGATAACACGATTTTCTTCAAAGGGGTATAATATTTACGATACCCAATTCCATTATTACTACTATTTGTCAGCACATACCTATGTTCTGACGACGGACATTCAGAACGAGAAGAACAATATTTTCGACTTTAAGTTGCCCAAACTCGCTGGGTTATATCAAATGATAGATCCTGGAAATGTCGAGGTCGAAACGTCTGTCGCATTGCCATGACATGCGTTTTGCTGTACACGTGTCTCATCTCGATAATGTCGAACCTTGGTGGTCTGCACAATATTGCACGGCCAATATACACCCACAAGCATGGATTATTTTTGGAAATCAGCAAACACGTTTTACTTAATCTACAAGTTTTGGATCGTCGTCCGCCACTCGGATGACATATTGTTGGAATTGTTTGTCGATCACGCGCTACAGTTTTATACTTTGCCCAGCATCCGTAACAGACATTGGCGAGGACACTGGACCATTGGCGAGAACGTTTGACGTGGTTAACGACCATATAATATGTCGTCGTTTGTTTCTCGGGTACCATCACTAACGTGACCACGACCTTGGTATTCAGTGGAGATACTAGTCAAAAACCGCGACGGTTCTATCGGTTATTACCGGCAGAACGTCATGAAATTCTAGTGCATTGTGTCTGACGAAACGTACTACAACGCTCACTATTGTACTTTTTACTTCGTCGAGGTATTTTTCATTTTCTTGTTGGCAATATTATTCATTATATTCGATATCCTTCTGATTACACTGTGCTTTAGTATGAACTGTCAGATGCAAATCATTTGCTCAGCGTTCGAATCGATCGGACACAAATCACATTCCTTTATCGGTGAGGAACCAAGCTGAATGTACGAAAATACAATTTAATACACTATTAATTAAAAACAACTATAATATAGATCGTCAAGCAGTAATGGGGTAAGGGTTAATTTTTTAATGAAGTATTCTTATATTGTTACATTTCAACTGAAAAACTTGTCGAACTAAATATGATTGAAAATTATCATTACCTATTTATCTTAACATATCAAGGACAATATGGGTAAGGACTAAGGATACATAGTTTATATTTATTAAAATGTAATATAGGTATTATAGTCGATAATATAATATAGTTAACAGTATTATATTTAATTGCAATAATAAGAGCAATTATTTTAATTATTTTTCTAGTAGCGTGAAATTGATATATTTTCTGTATTTATTTATACGTCTTATGAACAAAAAAAAATTAATAATAACTTAAAAAATACAAAGCATATTCAAATGCATTCCTTCAAACAACAAATTTAAGCTGTAACAGGAAGATCTGGCGAATAAAATAACTTTTGTTTTACTAAATATATTTATATTATTTTCTCGTTTATCTATTTTTATTGACACGTATATTATTCCATTTTAATTTTTTTTTCAATAGTGAAAATCAAAAAATTTTAATCTGATTTAAAGATTTTTGAAAAATTCAACATAACCAACTTAAAAATTTGTTATGTAAGAAACTATTGATTTGTAAAATAATTTATCGGTCAAGTATTTTATTTTTTATGATTTTCGTATAATGTCTTTTTCTTAGTAAGACACCTTAATTTAAAAAGTAATAACTTTTTAAAAAACGAATTAGATTTTAAGAAGTGGGTACTCACCTAACTTGCCTTTCCAAAATTCTCATAATTTTATTTGAAACAAGTGTATACTTTTTCATGAGAGATTGGTTGGTGCTTTCGAATTTTGACCTTCGGATGCAGAATGTTCGTTGTCATTGCCTTACGTCAAGCCAAATGACTTAACACGGCTCTGCCATTTTTTTTTCAGGAAATATGAAGTAGCTTAAAATCTATTTAGAAGAGTGATGTTGATACAAATTTTCGTATCATCATTATAATATGTCTTCACGCTTTGGTTTACTTTCACAACGGTAAAAAAATTACGTAATACATAGATTTGTTTAGGTACATAGGTTATATTATTATATCAATGCAATATTATGATTTTACATTAAACGTAAGCTTACCTATAATTTTTAAAATTTAAATCAAAATTTGAGACAAATGAGATTATTGTTAATGTCTATTAATATTTTTAAATCAAAGAATTTATAATTGCTCTTCAATTATATGTTGTACAAATTATTAATCAGATTACAGTTGTCCATCTTTTGATGTCAAATCTTAACTCAAAACGATAAATACACTCATGTCATATGAGTTGTAGTAATTTAGTATTACTCTGTAATGGGACACCATTTTGCTGTGACATATCATTTTTGTAATATTAATAGTTTCAGGATCAGTACACTTTCTCGACATTCAATTGCCCGACAGTATCAAAACCCATGGTAAATAAATCTGTGTCAACAACTATTCAAAAATGTAATAAAGTATTATGTAGTATTATATTATTATTATAAACTTATGTTACATTCAAAATTATACAAATAACAACAATACATATGTCCGGCTGTATGAAGTTTCGGTAAAAATAAATGTGTCAACCATTATTCAATGATTCAGTAAAATGTTGTTTTATTTTCTATTCAACGTTACATTCAAAATTAATGTTGTTGACGGTTTTAAAATTTATCTCAAAATATAATAATAATAACAAAATAATTAATAAAACATAACAATTTAATGCTACAACGAGGGAGTGCCCTTGGAAATGATATACATTTGAACGATTTGTCCTGTCTTGTAAAATTGCACTACTAGGTACCTTTTTCTAGTTCAGTGTTTTCCTTGTTAGTATGTGCCTTTCGCAATAGTTTCTCCACTATTTTCGACGAAATCAAAATTATTCTTCTATAAAGACTACATGTCTTATAAGTTGTCAAACATAATATAGTTATTACAACCATGCATCTTTTGATTTCAAATTTTAACTCAAAACGATAAGTTAATTTGTAATTCGTACTGCTCTGCAATGAATGAACAGGTTTTACTATGACATAATATTATCATAATGTTAATAGTTGCCTACTCCACTTCATAATACACCCAAGAATGAAATTTGTTTTTTAAATTGTTGTTAATTAAAAAAAAATATTTTATCGTTAAAGTGTGTGATTAATCGATTACAAATATCCATAGTTCATTTCCTTACAGAATGGTTTGAATATTGAGTTTTTTAAAATTCATATGTGCACAGTATTTATGAATTAATTAAGTGGTATTTTCTCTGGTGTAAAATGATTTTAGGGTTTCTCCGACGATGATAGATTTAAGGCTTCGAATGCCATAGTCAAAATAAAGTATTGCTCAATTCCTCCAATATCGTTTCAAATATTTATGGAGTGTTATTTATTTGGGAATATACAAGATCATGAATTTTGTATGCATTATTATTTTAGGATAGTTCATTAATTGTTGATGAAACACTTTATGCACCTTGTCTATATTAAGTCACATTTAAATATAGCATTTATAAATGTATTTAGACAACATAGGTACTTTGCTAAGTAGACAATTCTGTTAATTCTACACGTTTGAAGAAAAACTATGAAAATATACGCTGTAGAAAATGTGTCTTATCCGACGAATTTTATAGTCACAGGTTTAAAACAAACATGGTTTTTATTTGAACTTTTTTTTTAAAGAAAGTTTCAATAATATTCGCATTGTACAACAGCAATAGGATTGAAATGGATATAAAATGTAAAAAATTGATATTATTGACAATGAAATTAAATAATTCTAACCAAAAAAAGTTAAAATTTACTCAAACGAAAATTGTAAACTTGGAAATGTTTTTTTAAGTAAGTCCTAATGTGATTATTATTTAACTAGTTTCATAACATCTTAGTCGAATGCATATTTATTGGACTAGTATTTTGTAATTATATCATCACCAACACATTAGTTTTATTTTGGTCTTTTGTGAATAACTATCAAAAAATATATTTATATTTTTGGTAGTTAATTATTAATAATTAGTTTTATTTTGAATTGCTGATAATGCGTGATTGCTACACAGTTAATTCGGTCTTAGTCAATTATATATAAAAAATGATGAATGAATTTTGTTCATGTTTATTTTGAATTTAATAAAGTTTTATATTATTCCTCTAACTATTAGACTATTGTCTAGTCGAATTTAAATGTTTATTGCAATTAACATTAGGTGAATCGATAAATTATTAATATGGTTATGTAACAGTTTATATAGAGTTCATTGTAAATCATCAAAATAAAATATTTCTTAATTTATTGTTATTTAATTAATTTAAGTCATGTGAAAAAAAAAATATTGTCTTGCTGAGCTATTTCACTATGATGTCTAGTGAATTAGTGTTAAATTTGAAGTCAATGATAAAAAATCATTGCATACGATAAACTATTCTGAGCGAAGACGGTTTGTCAGTCTATCATATTACAAAGTATACTTTATGATATTCTAATATTGTGTTTAAAATGTTTAAATAGTAACTAATTTATTTTTAGAATAGCCATAAGTACTACAGAGTACAGGAGGTTTAATTAATTTTAGCCAAAAAAAAAACGACTTTGCAAATGTCAATGTATGTATAACATATAATAATATATTTTAATATTATTGTAAAAGTGGTGGGACTACTAACCTACCTAACTATTTGAAGAACGTGTGATACTTGCGTGCGATGCCTTCGAACGTTATAATATATACGTTAAATTCATAGCTAAACAACCTAGGTATCCAAAGTTTTAATAATAATGTATATAATTAAGGTAACCCAAGTGTATTAACTCTGTTTAAATTTCTGTCAATAAAAATCTACGCTAACAGACACTATACAAACTCACAAATATATGTAGGAATAAAAAACTATGTAGTTGAAAATTTTATTTTTCATCAAGACTATAATCTGAAGAAAACGCAAGTTCGAAGAAGCACACAATACTAAATTATATTATGCGATGTGGTGGTGCCGCCTCAAATTCGTATTTGTTATGTCTTTTTGGGGGCCGGGGTTTCCACTTTGAGACCTTTTATTAATCTGAAAAAACAAAATGTCAAAAATGAATTCATCTCAATATAGTAAAGATTATTTATCTATTTATTATTTAGTAGTGGTTTATCGAAGTAAAGTGTATGAGCTAAAAATCGAACTCGAAACAACATTTTTAATAATCGTTTGTCGAACCAAACATTTCGTTTAAAATCGAATCGAACCCATATCAAACATTTTGCATCATACCAAATTGAACCCGAAGCGAGTTTTTGAATTAAATGCCAAAATAAAGTTTTTAGTTTTATGTCCAACCAAAATAATCAATTTAACACAATTAAAGATTTAATTTAATATAAGTCTTATCTAGTCGTTGTCTGTTTTAACTTTTTAGTTTTTACATTAGCGTCATTCCCATTGTTTGCCGATAAAATAGATAATGGAGAAAATTAAAATCAAAAAATAAACACCGGAAACATATTGTTTTTGTTCGGATAACGTTTGATGTGTTCTAATTATTTCCGGAGTTCAGATAAATTTAGAATTTTGAACTTTTAAGATCGAGGTCAGTTTGGTTTTTTAAAAACTATGTTTGACTTTTGAACTAGAACCGAACACGTTGATTTCTGTTCGATGTTTTGGGACTTTTATCCGTTCAACCCACTCTCCAATATTTAGATATTTCGATAAGCTATTAATTGTCTAACTATACATACTCTTCGACTCCGTTTTTAGTGTCTGGTTCTGTTGTTTTGCTCAGAATCTTTTGTAAGGCACCAATCATGTAATCTAATTAAACGGTTAACGTTGAAAATAGAATTTATAAAACAAAGAAGAAAAATAATTCGCATACTTTTCGTTTGTTTTTTATCTTTGGCGCACGGGTCTGTTGGTTTTTGTTTCCTCTTGCCCAACGAGTTTAACTCTTTTAAGTATTTCGCTTCGCCGGAGACTGGATCTAACTGCAACTTGGTCACGCCTAGCTTTCCCATGATATCCTCTTCGTTAAACGATGTAAATGTATCCAGCACGGGTTTTTCAACATCAGAACCTATGAAAAACAAAATCAATCGAATCAATATTCACCATGTTTACACAATTATCATCAAATTAAACAATATACAAGACATTTTGACGGATAATAATATAATTGTATTACCTGTCATATATTGGGGAGTCTGTGGCAGACCGGGGACGCTGACCTTTAAAGATTTAGGTCACTTATAAATAAAAATGGAGTTAGAAATTCGAGAGGTAGAACCTATGGGAGATAGCTTAAAAAAAAAAAAACATAACATTTTAAAGATAATTTTACAATTTATTAAAATGTAATAATTTTACATTTTGAAAACTTTCAAACTTAAAAATAATAAAACTAATATTTTATAAAAAATAAGAATTCTACAGATAACAATGCCCTCTTTATATTTTGTCTCAATACCTGGACAAGAATAGTGGGCCCACTTACTGCATACTGATTTCACCCACCCACGATATTGGACCTCACTTCAACTCGAAAATGTATGCCTCGAAATACACCAAAATTTGGTATAACTATATACAGCCATCGCGCGTCGGCTGCATACTTGAAAATAACCTATTTCATACGCTTACATATTCATTGGAATATTTCACAGAGCTTGGGCACAACAATGTTGAAAACCATTTTGTTTAAACAAATATATATATATGGTATCTATTGAAAATATTGATAACTGGCTTTGACAAGTTTTTGTGAATAATATTGCGGTATGATGATTATTCTAAGGACTTATGGATTTTATTGTGTAATGTTTTTTTATGTATGGGTAGTAAATACGTGGTGTGATGTCCTCGGTTAGTTACGTTTCCCTGATGTTATACCATTACGTTAAGTCACACAATCAAAGATGCAATAGAATATTGTTTGTCGAAAATTCGATTTGTTTTCTAACATCGATTGCGATTCTGCGCCAACAGGCATACGAAAGTACTAACTTTTTAAGTTTTTCTCGTCCTTTTCTTTTTCTTTTTCTATTTCCTCTAAGTCTTTTTTTCGTTTGTTTTCCTGCATTTTTTCGCCGACCTTGGCGTAAAGCGATATCAGCTGTTCTTCCAGCTCGCCGACGATTTTCTCTATGCTTTCCGGGTAACCGTAGTCCACTTTCATGCATCTCAAGAACTCCAACGCCCATTGTAATTGATTGACGCCTGTGGTGGAGTTCACAAAGGCACAAAATGTTATGATATAGTTTTAATGATACATTTGTGGGTATATAATTATCATTGTCATTATTATTGTGATATAGATATAGAGATATCCATTTCGTCCCTATGTGTTATGGTTAGGTTAGGCCTATAGGAATTGGATGCAGTGTTAGGTTTTTTGGTGCTATTTGGTTTATTGCTGAGCAGGTTTGAAATAATTTTCACGACATTTCGAGAAAAATATTCTTAGTATATAGCGTATTCTGAATATTTTTGTACATTTAGTGATTTTGTTGTTTTAATTTTTCATATTTTAATGATTAACGGCGATAATAATTTGGAAATAAAAAAAATAAATACTTTATAATGTATATTTATTTTGAGAGTTTTCACTATTATTATTATTATCGTATTTTTTCAAATCTCAAATCAATATCAGAGTGACGCTTAGGTACCCATATACGGTTATAAATTATTATGACCTAAAAAACTGTGTGTTTGTGCGTTACCGATTTTGATTTTAGATTTCTTGCCGTACACCGACCACAGAACTGTGATCAGGTTGTCGAACAGTGTGGCCAACGGCTGTTGGAGTGAAAACGTTTTGTTGTGTCCGGGCGGCGGTGCCACTCGAAAGTTGTACAGCATTGGGTTGAAAGCGAAGTTTTCACTATTACCGTCGCGCTCGGTCTTGGCGGCAGGAACGGACCTGGAAAAGTATAGACAAACACCGAGATTACATTCGACTGGCGTTTGAATCGCACCCAAAGTGGCTCCTTACTCAGTCTTGGACGACATTTCGCTTAGAAATTTAAAACGATATTATGTCGAAAGTAGTTAAAAATTTTTGTAGTCTAATGAAACGTCGTTCGTTGTTTACTAAGACCATAGTCAACCGTCATCTGTTGTTTTATTACTAGCCAGAACGTGCGGCGTTCGCAGCCACGGAATCGGTACGGACGTTGTTATTGTAACATTATTATTGTGCTGCCAAAGACTTTGTATTTCGACGTGCAGAAACAACACCTCCCAACTCGGATTTTGGTCGAACTCAGTGAGAAACTCGGGTTTTATTCAAACTTTTGCGCGGAATCGACTGGCGATGTGAGACGATAATACGCAGATGCTAATAGAGTACTATCCGAAAAAATTACAACACAGCATATTATTGTCATCTGAAATCTTAGGACATCGCCACCTAAAAACCTGTATACATTTCTATGCTTCAGATATCTGAAGGTTTACATGAGGCGAGCTTTTGTACAAATATATTATATTATGGTCCATCGCAGTATTTTTAGTTTTAATCGCGAACAATAACTGTGCAAAATCACAATTCATTTCTTATTTTAAGCGAATTCGTTCGCCGTCGAATTTTTGTCGTGGTTTTTAAAATAGGCGTACCTAATAATATATTGAGATATACGCTACTGGTCACATTGGGCTATCGCGACCTGTATGAGAAAGACACTGTTCTTTGTGGTTGTCTGTTGTACGTAGGTTGTGCCGTAGTATGAATTATATGAAATAGCCAAGAACGTCCGCATGAATTTTTCAAGGGGGGGGGGTGCAAAATGTATTCATTTTTAAACTTTTTGTTTCACTGTCCGATAACTGACAATTAAGTATCGCAGGAACATGTTTTCTTTCATATCCGTTGGGTTTTTTTTTATATTTATTTATGAATTCTAAACTAGATGACACTGGTACGACACTTAATCTTACATTTTAATTAATTGATACTATGCAGGTAATAGTTTTAAAATAACAATCAATGAGTTTTTTTTTTCATAGTTAAATATATAGTGTTTTACATTGATTTTTTGATTTTATAATTATTACAATTTGTTTATAAAGTTAAATGTTTCTACCTTCTGTAAAATAAATTATGAATTGTCGAACCATTTGGAAACAATGTATTACTTTTATTACTTGATAACGTAAATTAATAAATTAATATAGCTTATTAATTATAGTAAGCAACCTTGTTTAAAACTTTAATTAGAGACTTGAAACTATTATATAAAATCTGTGGACGTTTAATTTTTTTTATCAAAAAAGTTTAAACTTGGTTGACGCTTGGCCCAATTATTACATGCCATTATAAATCTATAAAGCAAAGTTCTTAGTTCTGACGTTTATAATATTGAGTGTAATAAAAATCACTCGGTAAAAAAAAAGTTTTGTATTTTTAATTTAAAAACTATTTATATATTGTGATATATCTTATATTACACAATTACTGTGATAACTAATCCAGAAAAAAGTATTCTGGTTAATACTTCTCCTAATTCCCCGACGGACGCCCCTGGAGATAGCTCGCTAATTTTTTTGTAACACTACGTATTTACGATAAATTGACATTACATCTTATATACACCACTCATTAAAATATTGTTGGTGAATTTTCTGATTTTTTTTTTCGTAGTTGTCTTGCAATCAAAATTAAAAAAAACCCCTCAATTTCACTATTAATGTTGAAATAATCATAAAAGCTACTAAAAACTTCCTACACAGAATGTGGTTTTGTTGATCTTCTGTAATATTAATAAAATTTAGATAGGTGCTGTTGCTGCGATACATGTCCATACAGCAAGAAACTATGTAGTACCTACATAATTATTATTAATTAAATAAATTATTAAATAATTCGTTGGGTAAGACATTGGTCGGGAATGATTGGTTTTTCGTCAAAAGCCTTGCCCTTATTTTACCTATTGTAATTTTGGTAAAAAAAACTATCCACCTATTCTTTATAATTTAGAAAGTAAGAGGTCACATCGCGTTATGATCATTTCTATAATTTCTATAATTTCTATCATTCATACTTTCATTTTGAAAAGAAAAAAATTATAAAACCGAACAACTTTTAGGTACCTGCTTACTAGCTTATAACCGCCGAACAATATATATTTTTCGTCTTTTGAGTTATTTTAATAAATGTTGGTTGAAGATGTCAAGCTAAAATATTTAACCAACTAAAACAATTTTAAATATGTCCTCTGGTAGAGACTCGAATATTCCAATATTTATTCAGAATAATAGTTTGAATAAGAATTTTTACCAACTATGGGAATCGTCTAGTTTGAGTGAAAAATAAAAAAATGTTACCTGAGTCACTGCAGAATACATAGACATATTCTCGTACACCTTAAATTTTCTGAAAAAACGAATTTTATTTTTGTACATTAAATCAGTCACGTACACAAAAAAAAATTTCGGTGGGAGGGGGTTTACAAAATATAGCAATACAAATTGTACAGCAACTTAATAAAACAATATATTCCTCCTTTCTCATTATTTTTTAATGTGACAATTATTATGCTAAATATCTAAATTCTTTGTGTGTCATTAATAATAATATTAATAATAATAAATAATGTGTTACGAACAGAATAGAAATGTATTTGATTATTATGCGCATAAAATTATATAGGTATATTAAACTATTAAGTAGATAGAAGAAAAAAAATCAAAAAAATGTACCAACTTTTATGTCAGTTGTGTGATAAAGACAATTTGGACAATTTGGAATAAGTGATTGTAGTTTAGTAATAAGTAATTACACTTTGATGATCAGCGGGGCTAGGATTTGTATTTGCAATAAAAAATTGTAAAATATGCATTTTATTTACCAAAATATGCAAAAATATGCATTTTAATTTTTATAAGATAAACACAAAAATATAGTTACAAAAAAAATATTTATTTATTGTAATACATCATTTGTTGTCTATTTGTCTTAATACGAGTATAATATAATTGAGAAATAAAATAAAATAATTTAGAAATAAAATTTATAATTCACATTCACTACGTGTGTTACTTGCTAGCTATGACGACATATTTTTTTAAATTTTCGAAAATGAATGATCTTTCTCCGTCAAACTATTCAATCTTTAATCGCATACCTAATGTACCATAGGATTATATTTATAAAAATAAAATTTGTGTTTAACAAAAAAACCAAGTTTTATACTTTAATCAGCAGAACTAGAATTAAATACTAAATATTAATATTAAATTATAAATATTAATTACGAAATATACTATAAATCTCGCATTTTTCGCATTCTTATAATCGAAATTTGCAATAATATTCATTTTATTCAATATATGCATTAATATGCATTTTTCTAAAATATGCAAAAACACGCAAAATAAAAACACCACCATTTATCTCATCATGAGGTGATTCGTGGACATAACTGACAAAATCAATAATCAGAAGTCGCAAAAAAAACGTACTGTAGCATACAAATCCTAGCCCTGATGATCAGTAAATCTATATTGCTATTGAAAAATTAAATGATCCAGAAGAGGTAAACATATTGATCTTTTGTAATATCATCCCGGAGATTAGCAATTCAATAGAAATTTTTGGTGATCGATCGAGTACGGTAAATAAAATAAGATTATCGACAAAATGTGAGTCTTACAGGCATATTAAATACATTGTAACGATACAGTTCTCACACGTTTGTAGTTCTTAGTAATCACCTCAATCAATCAACTATAATATTACGTGTAAATTACGTGTATTTCGTAACCGATTAACAGACGAAGAGAGACAGTTAACAGCTATAGTAATAAAAATATTTTATAACAATAGATGTATAATTTGACGTAATTTTCAAAAAAATTATTTCTGGGGGGGGGGGGTTGAAGTTCATACAGTACAGTGCAAATATATAAAAACGAATATCATACATAAACTATAAAAAGACATATTGTAGCACATTTTAGATTCTGAGCAAAGTGATGAGTTAATTGATTTAACAATGTAAGTGTTTTATATAGTAGCAATAATCATTAGCAGACTTCAATTTTCCATTTTCATTTCTGATGTGAAAGATTATCTATTCGATACTTTTATGAGTTGGGAATATCTCAAAAAAAAAAATAATGAAGGAAAAACGGGGAACTTCAGCACAACGAGTTTTTGAAAAAATTGATTTAGTTTTTTTCGTCTAACTTAACCGTAAATATTTTAAATTTCCCGAGATATTGCTTACATCACCTTTTTCTATACGCCATATGATTTTTCAAAATATATGTTCTTTTTTTTTAGGTATTTATAAGCATAAGAAAATTTCGACTTTTATTACTTTATTTTTAGTTACTATAGATAAAAGAATTTCCGTTACGTATATGAACGTGCTTGAAAATGTTATTCTAGCCACTGTTGCCTTCCTTAACAGGTAAACATTAATAATACGTAAAAGTTATCCAAGCTTAATAAACAATAGATCTAATATTAAATCCATCTTACATTTTTGTAAGACTATTTTTAAGGACTATAATTATCCTTATAGCAAATCAATTTTAACTGAGAAAATTTATATTAGGTAAATCGAAATGTTCGGGAAAAATATTCACTAAATAATGTGTTGTAAAAAATAGGGATTCTTATTTAAAAATATTTTGAAAAAAAAAATTCGAGAATTTGAAAACATAATTTTCAGTTTATTTAAAAATTCCAAATATCATAGTTTTAAAAAATGCATTCTCAAAAGAAAAACTGGGAGTGAGCATATTGTGTTTCTTAAACCATTCTGGTTTAAAACCTTAGGTAATAATAATATTAAAACACGCACTTTCTACTGGCGGCAATGCCAAACTATGTCCTGTTCGAACAAACTTTCAGCCATTCATAGTTAATGATATTGTATAATATGCAGGTTTAAATTTTAAATTTTATTGTGACTACTGTTGACAAAAAAAAAAACAACTCTGAATTATGTAGAGATTTTAAATATCGTTGTAAAGGTCCGGATTTCAATACATTATTTTTTGGA